GGAGGCCAGAGTGTATCATGAGCCCGGTTTTTACCCGTACACAGTTAGTTTATTATTAACCGCTGATTTAAGATTTGAATGGCCCTAAGCATGAAGAAACAAAGACAAAATTGTTAAAACTTCCAATTTGATACACTTTCTTTTCTTTTCTGTTTTCAATTTATACTCGGAAAGACACTTTCCTTGAATGGCTAAGTTCATATTACTTTGACTTATGAAATGGTATTCTTTGCCTTATTCGCGATGTTGTTAGGTAAGCCTCTGAATTAGAAGAAGATCCACTTGTTGCTGTATACTATATGTTACTATTACAACTAGCTCATTTAATTATTTTCTTCTTTCTTTTGGCCTTTTCAATGTTTTGAACGGAAGATCTGCTTACGTCCCCTTAGCTTCATCTAACTGTAATTGTATATATATATATATATATTTAATTCTGTTTTCCCTTCAATTTGCTCATCTTCTCTTCTTTTTTCCGCTGCAATTTCTTCAAAAAACTCGTCACCTACGTAACAGCTTTTTGCATCCAAGTGAAACTTTAGGCAAATTAACTGAACTTATATCCTCCTTTATCTCAAAAGTTTTGTCACTGTATGATTCTTTAAGGAAAATTTGGATACGGTACATTTGACATGTACTTTATTATTTGAACATATATAATTTAAACATTATATTCTGAAATTAAACATAATTAGTACTAGAAGGAATTTTTTCTCGAAAATTTTAAAAAGAATTTTATTTATAATTCTAATCAGAAGCTAACACATTGATGCTTGAAAGGTCTAATTAAGCGATGGGATAATACTTACAAGACATGAGGAGAAATTATGTCAAATTACATAGGCAGAAAATCCTATTAAAAAGCATTACTTAAATAAATATTTCTATATTTGATTGATTTTGAATTCCTTAATTTAGAATAAAGGGCCTCGCATTGCCCGTTAAGAATAGGTAAGCGGTTCTCTATCTTTGCTTCTATTATATATTCTAACTCATTGTATCACAATATTCTATTTTGCGAGATTAGAAAATTACGAGAAAAATTTATTCGCACAGGGTGTTTACACCCCGGTTGAGTTAAGTTAACCATAAATAAACTCATTAAGGTCTATTAAGCTCCTATTTTAATAAATAAAGAAATATAAAAAGAAGTAAGCTCATATATAATAACGGAACATTTGAAGGTTTTAGGTTGCAATGCATTTGTCTTTCTTCTCCTTCTGCACGGTATTTTACGAAAAAACTCAACCGAGAGTGTAAGGGGGAGATAATTTTTTAGGTATTATTTAGTTTGTTATTTTGTGCTGAAAATTTTCCCTAAGCTTCAGTTCAGTAGTAACCCCACTTAGGCTTTTATTGTCTTCACACAAAAAAAAAAAAAAAGCCGTTAAAACATAATTTTAAAATTTCTTTTCAAGATTAAATTTGATAATTTTTTCATGATTAGTAACAGTGTAATTATGCAAAGCCGAGTGCATTTTCTGAAGTTTTTTCATATGAGTTTATTCTTTTTGAATATACATGTCCGATGTTTTCACAAACTAAGCCACTTTTCTTTTGTGTGGTAATAGCATATCAAAATAGAAGGCCACACATATTCATCATTAGTAGAAAACAGTACTGTCGATGTACTTGACGTCTCCGTTTAGATGATAACATGGAATAGCAAGATGTTAGGTATTTTTATATTAATAACTAACTAAGGTTATGTAAAAAATATATGGTACTTAACTATGATTAAGTACTAACAATTAAAGTTAAATAAAGTGACATGTATCATTTATTTATTTGTGGGGTGTAAATATTCGGTACGGATAAATTTTTACCCGAAAATCATCATCTTAACTAAGAATTGTATGCCTAGATACTAATGTTTATTTAGCTAAGGATTCTCTTCAACTAGTTTTAATTATTCTTCTAGACACAAAACAAAAGACAAAATTGAAAATTCAAAAAAGTCTAGTCAAGTAACGCGTAAAATTGAGACATTTAATGTGAACACTTTCTTAAATTAGTTTTCTAACAGTCATCAACTCGGAGAAAGTAGCCGCTGTTGAATTTCAACATATTTAGACTGCTCCTTTATATATAGTCTGACCAATAATGGTGGATCTTGCCCAGAACCATTATCTCCAAAATACAAATCCTCAATTTTCCTCTCTTTCTTCCTTAAATCTTTCAACAGAAATGGACAAGAACGAATTTATCTCTCTTAGAGATCGTCCATTCCCTTGTAGATTTCGTTATATACCAGAAGATAACATTCAACAAACATCAATTACTGCCAAAAATCATCAACCAAACCATAAAATTGATGAGATAGAAAGAGTTGGCAATAATGAAAGAAAACATTTCAGCCATCGACATAACTTGTTAATGTACTCGTTACGAGCATCAGATTGTGTTCATTGCTATTTTTGCGAGACAATTATTTCAGGCATGGCATATGGTTGCAAACGTTGTAGATACTTTCTACACGAATCCTGTTCTGAATTCCCACAACTTATTGAACATTTAGCTCACCCTGGCCATCAATTAACCCTCAAGTACACTCCCACATTTGATAGTGGCTATATTTGCAAAGCTTGTCACGTTGGTGACAATCCAGCTTTGTTATTTAACTTCCATTACTCTTGTAATCTCTGTGATTTTGCTATTCATATGGGGTGTGCTTCTATGCCTTGTAAAGTTTTTCACAAGGAAACTGGGCTATCCCTTTTCTACTCAAATCCTTTGAAAAATGAAGCTGGACCACTCCTTTGTGATATTTGCAACCACTCAATAAACAAGACCAATTCTTGGGTATATTATGACCATAGTCATAATTTCATAACCCATTTTGGTTGTGCTGCTGATTCTATATATGGAAAAGGAAAAGATGATAAATCTTATATTATGGGTGTGAAAACTGGATTGACAAATCTTGACGGAGATGACACTTCTATAGTTCACTATCAAAAATATGATGAAGGAAAAAAAGATGAGCGATTTTTTCACAGACATGGTTTGCATTTATTGGACCGTTCACAGGACAATATAGTGAAGAATCATAAATGTGGAATATGTGGATTAGATCTAAGTACAGACAAGAAAAAAGGATGTTCAACTTGTGATTATATAATACACGAGAGATGTTCTCAATTGCCTGAGAAAATTCAACATCCATTTCATCCACATACACTTACACTTGTTCCAAAAAAAGATGGAGTTGAAGTTCAGTGCAATGGATGTCGTCAATCTAGTGGTTGTCATACCAATTACACAGTTCTTTACCAATGCAAGATTTGTGATTTTCAACTTCATCCATCTTGTGCAGCTTGTCCAAGGAGATTGAAAAAGCTTGATTTGACTTTATGCTATTCATTTCCTTATAAGAATGAGGTCTCAAAATTGTTTTGCAGCTATTGCTCCAAAGTTATTAACAAGGATCAGTGGCTCTACTATGGAAGAAATAAGGACGAGAAGAGACACATTACTTGTCAACTTGCTGTTGGTGTTTCAAATTGCTATGTCACATTACGTGATTTAGAGGTCGAATAATCAAAATAAAATATCTCTCCTACATAATGATTATGGTCTAAAATTCGAGTGGATAACAAGTCGGTCATAATCCATATTCCTGGTAATTCGGACAGATCGACCCTTAAATGCTTCATTGTTTTATTTATGAATAAATTAGAATGAATTGATATGTACTTAGGAAAATTATTTTTCTGCTGCGGAAGAGACTATATGTTTTGTTTTCCTAGAATCAGGTCCTCTTTCTTTGTAAATTTCTAATAGTACTCTCCAAAATAGAAGCTTCCACTGTAATCTAAATTCGTGTGTTATATTTTCTTTTATTGATTTATAATCTTGTCTATATTCATTGTTTTGCTTTGACTTCTTGCTTTCTCAACTGTTCTTTTTAACACGGAATACACTTTCTTCGTACTCCCTTATTTACAAAAACTGTTTTTCTTTCAAGTTGACTTCTCAAAACTAAAAGAAAATTAACAACAATTGAACGTTGAATTTAGTTGTATTATTATATTTGAAATTACGAAACCGTGCACCGTACCGTAGTAGAATGTTTCTATTGCGTATTCTATCGTTTTCGTTTCTATCAATTTATCTAGAGGAAAATTGAAAATTCTAGTTTGGAAAAGTCTCGTATTACAGTTTGATTGTTTAAGTGCGCTATAAATTTACCCTACTATGGCTTTTTAGTGTATTTTTTCTTCGAGCGTTCTCAAACGGATTGCTCCATGTGCTTTTAATCGAAACTAGTACGTAACTTTTTTAATTAATTTTCTGCATGTGTTAAACCGGTCGTTACTTCCCTTTGAAAATAAAGAAGATTTTCATTGTACTCTTCATTTTTAAATTAGATACGATATCTATCAAACCACGTCAAAAGATCTTCCATGTTGAAATTAATTATTGATTCTTGTCTTGATCCACATGCCTAAATCAAAAAAAAGTAATTCGAATTACGTCTTAGACGTAAAAACTTTTACATATATTATAAAAATGAGAACGATGACGATTATATCGGGAGAAAAGAAGTTTCTGTAGTGAAAATGATGACGTAAACTCAATATGTTAGAAGTTTTCTTTTGGGAAACTATTGGAACATAGCAGATAAATATTTAATGAACAATATAACCTTCTTAGGGAAGTAGCTTTCAAAACTGTCCATTCCAAAATACTTGTTACGTCTAGCTTCTCAAGAGTAAAACTATATAAATTTTGACTAACATATTAATATGTATTTTTTCACCATATTAATATGAGTAGAATTGCAAACTATAGTCCTTTCATTTAGTTTATGAATATGTAAATTTTGATGTAAAATATTGAATTAATCTAAATCAATTTAGCTTCAAAGATTAGTTAAATTGACACTCAGAGGAACGACTTCCCCCTTAAGGAAATGTTCACAATCCACAGTACACCCTGACTTTGTTTGCTTAATCATTGTCCAAGAACTTCCAGAATAAGAAATGAAAGATCAGACATTCGGAAGCAAAAACCTACATATAGCTGTGATTTTATATATAATGATGTACAACAATGTAAATACAGACAGAATTGCTTCTAGCCACAGCAATTCTCGAGAGACATGCATATGATGCATCCAGGTAGTGTGAAATGAATAAGTAAAACTATGTAAATATCAAAATATACTAGACCGATCCTTATAAAATCATGAACTGGATTTTCTACCATTTAGCAGGGATATTAAATTAATGGATGCAGATAGCAGCAATATCCGCAGATACAAGTTAACAGCACAAGACTCTTGATCTACCATCTTCTCCCCGAGAATCGGATCTTCAAGGTATGAGCAGACATTCTCAGATGATCCAATATGTTCAGAGTGAAAGGTGATTGAGAAAATGTCGCCAGTGTGGATCATAATGTTGTCAAGATCCCTGACTGGTTTGAACACAGACAAGAACAATCTGGTTCAGTGAGCTCCCTTTTCACCAGTCGCTTGTCACGATTTATCATTAACTTAACAAGCGGTAACTTCAAAGAAACCTGTCGCCAAATTTCTTTTACTGTTCCATTTGGGTCCTCATATTCAAAGTAATGCTTCACCTGGAGATGTCACAAATTTCAGGAGTACATATGTAAAACTCTTCATTCTAGAAAACAAAAAAACAGATCCGAACATGTTGCTACGAAAATCAAAGGGTTTCTTATGTTGATTAGATGTTAAAGAGTCCTATAAGCTAAAGCATGAAACACTTGAAGTTCATTCAGGAAAGATAAGATGGAGGAACAAGCAACACAGTAACCTATCCAGAACAGACCATAGTATGGTCTACTTGCAAGGAACTATATCATGCATCAACTAGCTGATCTAGCCACCAATAGGTTTTATATTTCATGATTAAATTGCTGACATAAAGCACTAGAATTAGCTGGATAAGAGATCTTATGCCTTCGCTTGAAATTAAATGAGTCAAGTACTTGGAGAGCTCATCTATGTTTCCAAATAAACAAGATTTATTCAGCTGATACCTCATATCTGAACTTTTTCAAATGAAATTGAACCCCTTTAGTTTAATATGTTTTTTCTTTCTTTAGCTTAAATTTAAGGGCTGTCCAATGTCCATATATTGGCACCATTTTTATACAGTGTTCAAAGAAGTAACATTTAGAGAAAAAATAATAAAAGAAAATGAAAAATTTAAACTAAAAATAACCAAACCTGTTGATACATGTTTCTCACCCTGAATAGAGTTTACAGTACCTATTGTTTATGATTTCCTGGCATCTGACCTAAATTTGAAACCGATTAACTGGATATTTGTCTGTTTGTCTCTTGAAACAATGCCCAAAATTCACAAACTAATTTCACAAATTGAGAACCAAAGCTGCATCCATTTGCAGATCTGAGCATTAGAAGAGACAACTTGAGATGCACGCAGTCACAATATCTATGTTTTCAGTGATCCAACAGGTAGAGAACAGCCCTATAGACAATGGGACATAACAGACTTACACTAGTCCTTGCCCATAACTCCTGGCGATATTTCTAGCCCTGTTTTTATAGTCCATGTATGGTTGTCTAGGAACTTTAGTGCGATAGGTAAAGGAATTATATTTTTTTATTAAGGTACAACAAGAACTAAGCTCAATCCGAACAAGTTGGAGTCGGCTAATATTTTGATAAAGGTAAGGAATTATAATTTATTGGTTAAGTTAAAAGAATTATAATAAAAGAGCAACCCAAGGGAATATCTCCTATAAAAGAAGTATAACTCGTAAGAGTCCAATAAAGGCCAAAAATAATAATGAAAAGATTCTGTTCTTGCCAGATTACTCCCTCGATATGATGTCACCCCCAGGGGTTAATAAGCTCAATTCTCCTTGTCAAATTATCAAGATTATTTCACACATCTTAAGTGCATCAGCTTTTGATGTTGTTTCTCTAATTCTTTTTTCCTTTTGCTTTTTCTTCTCTGTCTGAAATTCCCCAACCATACCCCCCTTCTGCTACCGCAGATTCCCATCTTTAAGGTAGAAGTAGGATAGGTATTTCCGTATAACTTCCACTCATTTGCATCTTTGTTGTCTCTGTCAAAAGACATCTTTGAACAAGACAAAAAAAGGAAAACACGCACGTCACACGCAAACACACACACACACACACACACACACCGTAGAGTGCATGTGTATATCTATTGGTTTTACCACTTCTCAATCATAGCAGCAAGAAAAAAAGGGCAAAAAGAAGAATTATGTGCTAGTGCAATATATGCATGACTACTTTATTTTCTGGCTGTAACAGGAAGAAGAATTATGTACTAGTAAATACCTTTTTCAGCTCCCGTTGGAATTCCAAAATCCTCTCCATGCGTACTTTCCTTAGCTTTTTAACCAAGAACCCCGGCTTCACAGCTGTGTTAGAGTCTACAAAAACTGCAATTTTCTTGTAGTCTATAACATCCTCAAATGGCAATTCAATGTAATCACTGATGATTACAGGGACGCACAAGCTCACAATAGCATCAAAAAGTCGGCAAGCTGATGGAGTATCACCAGCTGGATGCAAACAAAATTTTGAAGTGTGCATCCCTTTTCTTGCCTCACGACGGCTCTCCCTAGATTGTGCACCATGTTTTATGATGACATCTTCTTCTTTCTCAAGTAATTGAAAAAGCAAATCACGAATCTTTCCTCCCTGAAACATTAGCAAAACAAGCTTTACGTAAATAACTATGGAACTATGATGTGAATTGATACCAATAAACAGGAGCGATATCATTTTTCTTTTTTTCTTTTTGCTGACAAGTATAGTGATACCAATTTCGTCAAATAAAGTATCCTTAACAGAATAAATTCAGTAGTAGCAATTTCTGCAAAAGAGATGTCTTAAGGAAAGACGTTATTCTTGTTAAGAAAATAGACCTTAAGCCTAAGTCAACCCCAAAATGAGATGAGGAATACCCAAGACCATATAAGGGGACATCAGCCAATATCCTCAACCAATGTAAGACTCTAACACCCCCTCCCTCTCGTATGCACAGGCCTAGACATTTGGAGAGTGGAAAACATAAAATGGAGCCCGACATTGAGTAGACCAAAAAATAGAGATAGGCATGGCTCTAGTACCATGCAAAGAAAGTAGACGTTGGGCCTAACTCAGCCCCAAAAGCTAGCTCATGAGGTAAGAATTGCCAAAGATCATATAAGGAGACAACAACCTATACCATCAACTAATGTGGGACTCTAATAAATCTCTTTCATCGGTTTGAATCTCTGAGAAAAAATTTACTGAACAAAGCCAGTAAAAGAGATAAAGAAAATAGTTAAGTTAAAAAAGAAAAAGGAAACGAAATGAGGTAAAGAGAATTTTGTTTTGAGCAGAGAGCAAGAATTTAAAGATTATGTAATGACTGCACACAAGCTCAACACATCCATTGACCTCAGATACCATTTGACCAGTCATTAATGGGTTGGCCCTTTTGTATGCTCTTCACTAGTATTAGCTCAAGGAACTTGAGCACTTACACAAGTTCTTTTAATAACCGAAAAATCCCCTAGTGCCTGGCGCACTATTAAAACTCGGTGGATAATGGACTCGTTTCTCCAAATTAAATAACAGGCCCTATGGTAGGGTTCGAAACCGTGACGTGCACCTAACCCACACATCACGTGCTGCACTTGTACCACTAGACCAATGTCATTCAGCCATCACTGCATCAGATTAAGAACCCTATGTCCTAAAGTTTAAACTGTGTGCAGTGAATTCATTATTGCCTTGGTGGCTGTGTCAAAATCACAAAGTCTTTTCTTTCCCAGAGTTTCCCATTTGGGGGGAGGGGGTTGGAATGTAGGAGGTGGAAATACTCTGTAGAATTTTGAATAGCTTACAAGTGATGAGAATGGTCAGGACTCAGGACAGATTAGCTTACAAGTGGAAATACTCTGTAGAAGTTTGAATAGCTTAAGCATTTCTATAACTTATAAAAAAGATTTTAAGCCACTCTATCAAGACAGGTTAGCATAGCAGACTATTCGGTGAACTTATGGAAGACCATCCCAACTCGTACTTGGTGGATTTTATTTATAAAGAGAAAGACACCAAAGAAGTTTGAGGGCAGGATAGATTCCAACCTTAGTGGTCGGTACAACTGCATAATTTTACTAGCTTTTTGGTGTAGGTTGGTATATGTAAATGATATAGACACACTCCTAGTTTTATCAACTCCTTACAAGCTTAAAGAAGGAAAACTTCATCAAAGGCATATCTTTCAGCACCACCTTGCCATAAAATCTGTCTTATTCAGGAAAAGAATGAACTATGTGCCCGTCTGTAGTAACTCGGCACAAGGAAATGCAGGATATCTTACTTGTCAAAAAATGCAGGATATCTTAGTTCCTTCAAGTGCTGTTGCTTTCTAGACTTTGGACTGGATGGATGACAGTTAATCAGTTAAAAGTGTTTATTCATAGCAGACGCTAGATAATCAAATACCAAATAAAGAAAATTTTCCTATCAATTACCTCCTTTCTATATCGATTGCCCATGAAGAAGAGCAAGGAATTCCGATTTTCAACGCCAATATCCCCAGTATATGTATTGATCCGATGTGAGTAGGGCAAGATGACATCCTTAACAAGTGATGCTTGATTACGAGCCAATCTTCCAAAATCAGAAACTAACAGCACCCCGTTCTTCACCCTATCTACAACCTTGTATAAAGCATTAGGATCCTGGCATATAAACACATGATCCCAGCCATTGTTCCTTTTCCAATACTCCTGCTGCTCCAACCATTCAATTAAAGACTCCTGCAACATGAACTATGCTATCACATGCCATTTTTATGCAAGAATTAATTTCTGAACCAAAAAGTTATGATCAGAAACAAATGCATTTACGGATTTAAGAAGCATGAGGAGACCAAAATTCTCTCTCTTTTTTTGTTTTTGTTTTTAATGATTACAATGTAGTCCAACCCAACTTGTGCACACCTCGGCTAATACATTGAATACCGGCCAACACAGGTGAATAATTATACCCACCAAGTTTAGCCAGATGGAAAGAATTCACCTGGTCTTCTCGATCCTTGGTTTGCAAGGTTGTCACACCAGCTCTTAAACGGGTTACCACCTTTAGGGTTGAGAACCATAATTCTCAACAAGACATTTGCAACAAACAGATCAGGGTGTATAAGTATTAATCTATGTTTCCCAAACTCAACCAGGATAGATCATTTAAAACACAATTTACCAATTATAGCTAGCGTAGCTAAATTAACAGTATGGACTAAAAACACAATTTATGACAAAAAAGATAAAAACTTTAACTGAAAAACACAAAACAAGGCAATTCCAGAAGCCCAAATAATGAAAAAATCAAACAAATAGGCATAAAAGGGACCAAACAAGCTGCATTAAACTCAAAAGAAATGCTACCATGCTGAGCCTGATTGCTAGAATTGATAACATTTTGATAATTTTCACATCTGACAAACTACAAGTTAAAGATATACAAGATCAAAACTTTTAACTTGATGACACCATAATGCCAGAAAATCTGACAAAAATGCAAAAGAGTCCAACAAATGCAATCACATTAACCCCAATTGAAAACAAACGCTTCCACAGCAAATAGCAGTGAATTCCCACCTGCATTTCCTCATCACTGTATACAGGCCTATCCCCGGGTGCAACAACTGTACCGGGTCGAATCGGATTGGCCACAAGGCTCAACGACGAGAAGAAGGGGACGTAAAAAAGGTCAGCTTCCTCAGGGTCCAAAACCCGAGTGAACGCCGAGTCAACCCGTTCTCGACTCGGCCGGTTCAGGTCAGAAAACAAGTACCACTCAGCAGAATGCTGATTCCCAGGATACTTAAGCAACGAATCATCACTCTGTTTCTCACCTCCCCTTGCTAATGCATAGCTCACGATAACCCCATATGTAAACTTCCTAGGCAGATCATACATATATACTTTCACGGGTGGAAAATTCTGGGTATTTTTATCTCTGAAACCAAATAAAGAGTTTCTTGTAGTGGAATTGTTTGGTGGGTTAGGGAAGATGAAGTTGTTCAAGAAAGCATATAAAGCTAAGATTGAGAACAAAGTGGTGGCAAGTGTAAGAGTAGTGGGTTTGAGAGTTAATTTTCTGGGGGGCATTTTGTTGTTGAGATTTGGGGTTAGGGATTTGGGAGAGGGGGGAGAGGGCAGTGGTGGTGATCTGAGTTTGGGTCTTGGATTCATTGATTGTTCACAAAAAGCTCAGAGGTGGAACCATGGGAAATCTGTAATTTTCCTTTCAGAATGGAGTAACTTTTTTTTTCGGTCGGGATTTAGACGTAACTTCAACAAAAAATTGCACGGCATGTAGGCCAATGAAAATGGTCTTGGCAAAATGTCTTAGTAATTTTTTACGATTTTAGCAAAATATATTTTACTTGAACACTATAATTTTTAATATTTAAAGCTTAAAATTCTTATTTGGTACTAATAGAAAATAGAAGGTTAATGATCCATTATTGTTAAAATTTATTTGAATGTTCATAATTTATGCTTAAATTTTTAGTTCAACCACTCATTTTGTGATTTACTGTAAAAAAGCACAAAACTCTATTGTTGGACCTTAGAAAATATTTTTAAAAAAAAGACAAAGTGTTATTTGACTAAATTTGTAATTCGGGATTGTTTGTGTTGGTATTTGGAAGCTTTGTTTCAAATTTGAGATCATTTAGAGCAGATTTAGGTGGTTTGGCCGAAGTGAAAGTTGCAAATTCGAAGAACACTTTGTTAAAATAACACAAACACATTATGCCATTCGAATAGAATTCGGTGAACAACTTAACATATATGTAGAGTAAATATAACATAAACTCTATCAATCCTGTAGAGATCCCTGAAGAGCAAAATCATGCCAACCTGGTAAACTTTGACAAACAACTTAACAGATAGGTAGAGTAAATATAGCATAAACTCTACCAATCCGGTAGAAAAATGCTGAAGAGCAATAACTGAGTGCGGGTCCGGGGGTTATTTTTTAAATACGGTCAATTTTAAGGACATTCGGCTAAGACTAACCCCTTGTAGAACCATTCTTGTCAATTAAAATATTATTTAGAAAACAATATTTTTTTGTTATTTTAACTGAAATTGAAAAACTTGTTTAATCTATTTCACCTGAATAAATGATTAATTCACAAAACTTTAACTAATTTTCCAACTTCTAACTCCAAACACTCATTTTTTTCATCTTCAACTTAATATTGCCCAAACGGGAAAGGGAAGGGAAGGAAATGGAAAAGTGAATGGTAAAGGTGAAATAAAAGTGATGAAGGGATCAAAAAGAAATGATACACCTTGAATTATTTTTACTCCTCTTTTATCTTTTATTTCTAATATTCTTTATTTTTTTTATGTAACCATCTGGTAAGTGTTTCTATCATAGGTTTCTTTTTATCGCCTATGCATTTTCCATATCAACAGTCTTCAAGCGTTGAAGGAAGGCACTGAAAGTATGATTATTCTATAAGCTTAATATGAGTATATAATTCAATATATTTGTATCGATAAAGGAACCCGTAAATAGGAACTTAAAGAAAATCATAAGGATGGTGCTTTCAGGTTTATAAGTATACAATAGTCACCCAAACGAAATGGTTGACAAATAGTTACAACTTGGAGGAACTAAGGATTATCAATGCCTGCCACAAATTGACTAAATCAGACATGAATCTCACATTTGTATTCAACATTGGGAATTCGATGTTTCTTTTTTAAGCGCACCTCGATTATTCCCATGGGTAACTGCTACTTCCCACTAACAAAGATATCGAACAAACCCATCCTTCAAGGCTCAGGAGATAGAAAGAAATCACAGAGTGTTTTTTGTCTTTGCTTGGAATTGAATGTTTAACACTTCGTTCTTTGTGGCTGTTCTAAAATGGGAAAACCAAATGTCTAGCTACTTCAAGAAATAACTTTAGAGAAACAAATCATGCAGAATAGGGGTTCAGCATAGCACATACATAGATTAATACCAACAGCAGAAATTAACGGCATTATGGAGAAAGAAACCAGTTGGAATTCTTCACAAAATCCATGCAATGAAGAAAAATATCTAGAGTCATTCACCAAATACACTTGAATCATTTTTAACAATAGTACTTTAATAATGGCAGGCCACAGAAGTTGAACATTGGTTTACATGTGATGTTTACATCAATGCGGGGAAATGGAAAGCTTGCAGGCAACCAGGCTTGATTCTAACCGGGGGGCCATTTCAGTTGTCTCCCACCAAGTACGTGCAAGTGAAGATGGTACACAGATTGACCTATGCAAGAGAGAGAGAGAGAGAGAGAGAGAGAGAGAGAGAGAGAGAGAGAATTAGTAATAACTTCAGTAACTAGGTACTTTTTTTTTCTTTCAGTAAGTACTGTTAAACTTTTTTTTGATTCCTAAAGATGCAAAGAAAACTTAAGATGCATATGAGATGTAAATAGCATCGTATCAAAAAATTCCCCTTTTAGTTTGAAGGGAGATAGACTTACATGCAGAGGCACCACTATTAATGACAACTCGAAAGCCATCGACAATGCCTTCTTTCTCCGCTACTATCTTGGCAGCATAAAGGAGGTGACCCAATATATCTTCATGTCTTTGTTCAGCCTTCAAAGATTGGAACAGAACCAATCAATTACCAGAGGAAATGGCACGGAAATGAACATCAGCAAAATTGACTTTTTTTTTTCCGAATGACAACTGCTAAGTTGCTAACCTATAAAGTTGTTCACAGCCCCAAGATTCCACTCTTTCCCTAAATACTTCTATTCTTTCTTCAGTAAAATCATCACTGCAAACTACAAGCACTTTTCACATACAAGTGCTACAACTTCATAATATCACACAAAAACTAATGCAAGGTGACCGCCTTTTACATCCAAAATATGTGTTTGCCTTAACCAACAGGACTCTACAGATCCCAATTACAGGGGCAAAAGCCAGTACGAAAAGGGATATCACCTTGTGGAGATATTGTGGTCATCTATTTCTGCTGTGGGACAAATAATTTCGACTCTCACACCCCAAATTTTAGTAGAGATAATTTGTGATTTGTGCTATACCAAAAGTCAAGATGCGCATTCCTTGAAATTAGGCATGGAATGTGTGCTAGAATACATACCACAGTGATAATATTATCAGAAAAGTAGATGTTTTGCTTGTACTTTGAAAGTACCCCCTTGGTACTTTTTTGAAGTTTCTTAAAAAAAGTTACCTTACCTGATCAAAAAAAAAAATGTAGATGAAGGGAAAAAAAAACACCACCTTTCCAAGCTCTGTTAATCCATCCCTCGACTTCGGGATAACTAGAACATGAATGGGAGCTTGAGGATTGATATCGCGAAAAGCAAGAACCTTTTCATCCTCATATACTACAGAGGCAGGTATCTCCTTTGCAATGATTTTATCAAATCTGAATGCAGAAACAAATTAATCAGAATGCGGTGAGCCCAGATGATCATTCAGTCACCGTGTCTGACATCAAGTCAAACTGTGGATGTTCACGTCAAATTTACTAATATGAAATAAGAGCTTAAGCAGATCGTCTAATTTACCAAGATCAGCATAATCATTCTATTGAGATTATAGAGTTGTAGTATAATGTTGTATTTTATTTATTTGTTTGTGTTGTAATTGAGTTAGTTAGTCAGTTGGTTAGCTTAGGTGGTTAGGAGTAAGGAGTTGAGTTAGTTACAAGGGTAGTCTGGTAATTAGCTGTCACAAAGGTGTCACACTTTCTCATTTTTATTTTTCCTTATACGTGTATAAGTACTCAGCTTAGTTAATGAAAAGAGATACAGAAGCTTTACCCATTTTACATCATCTCTCTAGAATCTTCCTTTCTTCTCTCTATACGAGCTCAAGGTCAGACAACAATGGAGGTTAGTCTGTCATCTTAGCTTCAATTTCGATATGGTATCAGACCACGCTCTAATTTCTCGACATAAACTTTCTACAATTTCATCAATCTCTTTTCATTTCACAAAATCGGAAATTACAAGTTCACACTTTGACAGAAGGATTTTTGAAATTTTCATCTGATTTCTTCAAATTGAGGGATCAATCACTAATTTTCTAAGAACCTACTTCAATCGATGGCAGGAGATGAGGAAACTCAAGGTACAACTAGTAATTTGGATTCGACTAACCCACTGTACATGCACCAGTCGGAGAGTGCCGGAACGACGCTAGTTCCTGTTGTTTTTTACGGAACAGGCTACAGATCCTGGAGAAGAGGAGTTCTTAGAGCTTTGTCAGTGAAGAACAAAGTCGGTTTTATTACGGGAAAGTGTAAGAAACCTAACGCAGATGAAACAACTTATGATCAGTGGGCTCGTTGCGATGATATGGTTACATCGTGGATTCTGAATTCACTCTCAAAGGATCTAGCGGATAGTCTACAATATGTCAATGACGCTAAGGAAATATGGCAGGAGTTGGAAGACATATATGATCAGACTAACGGAGCGAAACTTTATCAACTACAAAAAGAGAGTAGTGACCTTAGTCGAGGGACTTTGGACATCACAGGGTATTACAAGAAAATGAAACGACTTTGGGAGGAATTGAACACCTTGAATGCACTTGCACAGTGCAATTGCCAATGTACTTGTGGTGCAAAGGCAAACATGCATAAAGTTGAGCAGGATCGAACACTAATTCAGTTCTTAATGGGCCTGAATGAGGTTTATACAGTTGTAAGAAGTAGTATATTGATGATGAATCCGTTGCCCAGCATAGCACAGGCTTTTTCTATCCTTATCCAAGAAGAAAAACAGAGAGAAGCCAGACCAAACAACAGATTGGTCATGGAATCTACTTCATTGAGTGCAAATCGACCTGGCAATACCAAATTCAAAACCAACTACAATCAGAGGGGAAGCAGTACTGGGCCTAACTCATACAATTCAAATAAGTCAAACTATCCACCTGCCAAGTCTTGAATGTTTTGTGACTATTGCAAAAAAGCCAAGACACACCAAGGACAACTGTTACAGAATTCATGGTTTCCCACAAGATTTCAAGTTCACAAAAGGGAGAAATGCAGCATCTGCTGCAAATGTTCATGCAGATTGTGAGGAGATGGAAGATGGCAATCAAAATCAGGGACTTCAGAGCCTGACAAAGGAGCAGTACAGCCAATTACTCAGCTTATTGGAGAAATCCCCAGGAAGAAACACAGGAGAAGGTCCTAACAACAACATGACTTGTGGAGCTGCAAACTTCGCAGGTATTCTAGCTTGTTCTACTTATAAAGAGATTGCTGAAACAACTGTGTGTAGATGTTCTAA